CGGAGTAGCTGCCGGCCGTTGGGCTCGCAGCGCCTCGGGGGTGGCTCTGCCGCCCCTCCCCCCCCGCCGGTTAAACGCCCCGCTGAGGGAACCCCGCCGCCGGCTCCTCGGGCCGGGCCGCTGCCCGCCGGGGTGTGGGCAGAGGAAGGTGTTAAATCATAATAGTGGAGTAATTAAGCGATAAGTGCGTATAATTAAGCCCGTATGGGGTAACCGGGGCGGGTTAAGTGACGTGCCCGGGTTGCGCAACGAGTCAGTGGCGGGGCAGAACGGCACTTGGCCGCTCGGGCCAGCCCCAGCCAAGTGGGAGAGCTGGCTGTCTGTCTGTCTGTCCTCACAGGTATTGGGGAGGTCCCTGGAGGTGTCCTGGTGGGGCAGGAGGCATGGGGAGATGGCTAAATACTTCCTTCGATCATTAACAGAAACTGCTGTTGGGAACATTAAATCCTTTTGTGCCACCGAAGATGAATGTAGGGGAGGGGGAAAAAAAAAAAAAAAGGTGGAGTTTCGTGCTGGATCTTAGCAGTTTGACTCGTTTCACCCTAATGATATAAACTCAATAACTGCCTGTACTTCCAAGTATTCAAAAATTATGATGCAGGCTTTTGAGTAGCGTAATGCCAGCTTAAAAATCAGGTTTTAAAAGGTTTTAAAATATGCAATTAGGGTTGGGTTTTTTCCCTACTTTCTTGCTGGCCCTGAAAGTATACTTGGGTCACATCCATGGCGCATCAGGAACTTGGCTTTTGGTTTAAAATGGAAGCTGAGATGCGCCTTTAATGGGACTTTAAGAACAGGGATCTCGGGAAAACACCAGTGTTGCAGGACTCATAAAGAAAGCTGAGAGAGCTGGCAATACCGCTATGCACTGCTATTTGTGGCTGTTATTAAGTGTACGAAACACTGTTAGAAACCTACTTCTAGCCACGAGAAGCTGAGCCTTTCTGGGCCTACAAGGTGCAGCTTTTCGGTGGGCCTTGGCAATGCAGCTTCAGCAGAGGTGAGGCCGCTTTAATAACAATTTTTGAATCTATAGGGTTGAATTTTCCCACTCCCTCAGCTTCACAGCTCCTTATGCGACCAGGTTTTTTTTGAGGTTTCATTGTAAAGATTGTTTCTTCCAGAAAGGTGATCCTGTTTTTTAATGTGGATGACTGCAGTCACTGTAGTGCACACAGTGCAGAAATGGGTCACGAATTCTTCAGCAGTGGGTGCTGAAGTTTAGGTGTATGAAGAGCTGAGTGCTTCTAGCCTTAGAGTTCGGTCCCCAAATTGTCAAGATCCCTCGAGGAAAGAGTTCTTCTCTCCACAGTAGTAATGTCACTGTCTCCTTTTGCTACTGTACTTCTCTTCCTTCCCCTCCCCTCCATTAGAGCGGTCAGTCAGCCAGTTCACAGGCTGAAGTCCAACTTCAATTGATCTTTAAATTGCTGTTCATCACTTTGAGGAAAATTTTATAGTCAGAACGCTGTAGCCGTCTTTGGCAAATCCTTCATGTCTCCGTGGCACAATTTGGACCCTTGCTCTGTGTCTATCTGCCAGTCAGCCAATCTCCCTGTAATAACTGTGGAACCCATTAGCCAGTTCTAGCCAAATTGGGCAGAAAGGTTAAAGTCTCAGAGTATGAAGTTGGCCGGCTTATAGACGACATTTCTTTCTAATCAGCTCACAGGTTGCTCTGAATCAGCCACAAAACCTACTGCCCTTTGCCCAGTCTGTGTTTAAAGGACATAGTAGGGAACTGTGGGAAGAACAAAAAATACACTGAGGGAGCCGCTCTCTCACGGGGTGGATGGGAGGAGTGGATGGGGTTATTGCAGTGGACACAAACTTCTCGGAGACCAGGCTGCAGGTGGCTTACAAACCAACCCGTCATATACTTGTTTGTGTGAAGTCCCTGTAGACAATCAGCCGTTGTTTAATGTAACTGCAATATAACATCGTTTTATTGAGCGGCAGTATGTTTTACAGTAGATTTCTATAATGATGAGAAGTTCCAGGTCGCCCACCCCCATGCAACTTTAGCTCTAACAATGCTTCTGCAGTAGGATATTTGTGTAAGAGAGGTAAAGCCAGAAATGTGACCTGCACTTCTCTAACTACCAGCCTGGGAAAATGTAGGTTATGGCAGAATGAAGGAAGGATCATATCTGGGTTACCGCCATGAACTGGTACACTCTTATGGGAAGCTGACACTCTGAATCGACAAAATGGAAGAATGAGAATGAAAGCTGAGCTGATAATAGCCTGCTGTAGTTGAACGTAGCAGCTCAAAAGAGTTAACGCAAAAATCGCTTAGGACGATTCCCACCCAGAGTGCTGTCACAGGAACGTTACTTTCCCCCAAAGCAGTACGCCAGAGGCCCCACAACCCATGGGTCCTGCCTGCTCCACGTGTGGCTGAGATCACCCACAGAGATGACTCGGAGCTGCGAAGTAACTGTGACCCCGCCAGATCCATATAATCAGGTACCCTGATAGGTACACATGTTCTCCATGTAAACCTGAGTGGGGATAGTAGATAAAAGGAGAGGCAGAAGAAGACACAGCTCTGACCAGAAACACTCCCAGTCTAAGCAGGCACAGTAAAGCGAGCGAGCGAGGCTTTCAAATGGCCTCAGGGCTGGCCTAACTTTATTCCTGTTGAAGTCAGTGATAAAACTCCCGTAAACAGAGCCTTTTTGAAAATCCCACCCTTGGGGCATTAAAGTACTTAAAGGAAGAGACTGGAAATTGTGCAGGCTTTAGATTCAATTTTGATCAGTTTTTACACATATTTCAGTGGGCCCAGCCACGGAACGGTGATAAGAAGGGCTCCTCTGTCTTTCTGTTTTGCTCATGCACATTTGGTAAGTAAAACGTGTGGGATCAATTATACTGTGGTTTTAATTGCACCTCTAAACTTGCAGTATCATGGGCACACAGGTGCTGTGTGGAGCTGTGAAGAACTGGTACCATGACTTATGTGATAAAGACTGTACGGCTGATAAACCAGTGAATTCTGAAGAGGGCAAGTAATCTTGCAGTAAAGGCCCAGGGCTGGCACTCAGGAGATCTAGTTTTATTTCTGAGTTCTGACATGGGCTTCCTGTATGACCTCAGCACAGTCATGTAATTGCTTGGTGCCTCAGTCCATCATCTCTTTAATAGGGTTACTACTTACTTATTTCCTTTCACCCGCCCTGGCCTGCCTTACTTAGACTGCAATTCTGCCAGGGAGTGGAGCATTTCTTACCACGTGCAGGGCCTTCACCCAATACAATGAGACCTAATGGCAATGCCTGTACAGTAATGCAATGCCAATTAAATAAATAAATGAAGATGATAATATCATTTAGGACTAGATTTGCAGCTTGTAATCCGGCCCAAGGTCAAAGTGCTACGCTTCCCTGGAACCTCGGGGACCTGAGGAAGTGCTCTACAGGGAAGTTTCTGCGCTGGTCAAAATCAGCCCCAAGCAGCAGCAGGTTTTGGGAAGGGGCCGAGCGTCAGTCACAGCTTTGCAGCCGGCCTTCTCTGGCTAACTGCTGAAAGCCACAAGTAGAGGCTCCTCGGGGACGCGATGTTGGACTAAGCGTCTTCGCATCGTGCACGGCCTTGTCTGATCTTGGTTCCTGGCTCTTCAGCGCTACTGCGGTTCTCCTCCCTTACCAACTGCTAAATCATACACGCGAATGCCAGTATCACAATTGCAGAGTAGCTGGTGTCTTTTTGAGCTGCCCTGCATTCCCGTAAGGGGCCACGTTACAACAAAAGCCATGGCAGGGCTCGCAACGTCGTGACCCAAAATGGAGCTGCAGTGAAAATTATTTCCATTACTCGAACCTGCATTCATTCTGATTAATTCAGTGTCTCCTACTATATTTAGATAACTGAGGATTAATTGTATGCGTGCTGAAATGCTGTCCCTTGTAATAAAATCACGCCGAACTATTCCTAACTTGAGTGCCACTTAAATTCGAAACCTAACTAGACCCTGAGGGCCTTAGCCCTGACTTAGCAGGACGTGTAAGGCACGCAGGATCAGGGCCTTGCCGTTTTCTAATGAAACTGAATGGTTTTCAAATCTCATTGCTTGTCTATAATGCTAAATAAATCAGGAATAATTTAATTTGTCTGCTAATTCTACCCAGCAATGCTTCAGCAGCACACCTACTTCTCAACGCGTGCAGCTGTCTATATCTGGTATCAGAGACAAAGCTACTTTTGTACTAAATCTGGTCCCTCGTTTAGGTCGATACGAAGCTAGGCGAGAACTGATACATACACGTTGCTATGTAATGTATTTATAACTGCATCTGTATTAATAGCTTTATGTTCCTTGGCTTTGTGGGTCACCCCTTTATCCAACCCATAATTAACTACGTCTTCAAGCGAGCTCCTTCGGAGGGCCTTCTGCTCGGGCACAGCCTCCGAGGAGGGAGTACGGCGGGATTACATTCACGTGTGGACGTCTGAACATGCTCCCGTATCACCCGCAGGCAGAATGAAAGTTTTCAAACGGCCAAACTGGACTCCAGGTTTAACGTTTACCGGAGCAACTCGCGCACCAGCAATTGATGGCCAGCGGAAACAAGTCAGAAAAGAAACGGCGCGCTGTTCCTCCGCCGTGCCTGGCAGCCAGAGCTGGTTCGACGGTGCAGTCCAGGCAGCGCGCGCCGAAGCCGGGCAGCGTCCTGGTCCGGTGGGCCTCACCGAGGCAAGAAGTATGGAAAAGCGAGACGGTCGCCCCTGGTTTTGCCCTTTAAACTCCAGTAAGCGCAGGGAGCCAGGGCTAACGCGACCCTCGGGCAGGGTTACCGCATGCTCCGAGGGACCCGAGCGCTTCCCGCCTAGCCGGGCGGCGCGG